GGGGGGGGGGGTGTTTTTCAGGGGTTGGGCTCCGCCCCTTAGTTCCAGTGAAGGGAACTCTTAAGGCATCAGCACACCAAGACATTTTGGACAATTTCATGTTCCCAACTTTGTGGGAGGAGTTTGGGGACGACCTCTTCCTGTTCCAACATGACTGCGCACCAGTGCGCAAAGCAAGGTCCATAAAGACACGGATGGGGGAGTTTGGGGTGGAGTCCTGACCTCAACCCCATAGAACACCTTTGGGATGAATTAGAGCGGAGACTGCGAGCCCCTCCCCCAACATCAGCACCTGACCCCACAAATGGTCCAACATTCCCATAGACACGCTCCTAAACCTTGTGGACGCCTTCCCAGAAGAGGCGGAGCTGTTATAGCAGCAAAGGGCGGAGCCAACCCAATACTGAACCCTACGGACTAAGACTGGGATGCCATTAGAGTTCATGTGCGTGTAAAAGCGTCCCAACACTAATGGCAATATAGTGTGTATGTATCTGGAGGGAGGTGATGCCACAATGTCTCTATATTATATATGACACTGGGGGAGGAGTGAGGTTTGATCACATGACCTCTTGGTCTCGGTTGATACTTTGTATCTGATGATTTATGAGTCTCCTTCCTGTATCTGGACGGTCCGTTGTGCAGTTTGCGGATCGGTCTCGGGTACAGATCTCCGTCTCCATCCCGTGAACTGTATAAAAGACATAAAGATGTCGGCCGGACGCGGCGTGATTCTGACCGTTTCTGAGGCCGGTGAGCCGGTGCTGACCTCGTGGCCGGGTTCACATTCAGGACTCTGTGGTGCTACCATCGGTGACGGGGACACTTGGGGGGGGTGAAGTGCTCTTAAATGTCTTTGTCGGCATTAATCCCGGCACCCCGCCGGGCCCCTCCATGCATCACAAAGGGCCCAAACTTTTTAAAAACAGCTGCTTGAGCTCGGAGAATCGCCTTTTAGTGGTCACTGGAGCCTGACAAAGAGACGGAGCTGTGAAAACCCGAGTCTGCGAAAGCCAATTGCTTCTTTTGTTGGGGGCTGAAGATAAAAGGGATTAGGATTCCTCATCCTTTAACACCCCAATTATACGGGGCACTGCGCACCCGAACTTTGTTCTCCAGCCTCTCCAGTGGGTCAGGGGGATACCGGGGACCTCAAACACACAGAGGAGTGCGAGAGACGCCATCGCCTAACCCTCTGCACACTGCTATGCACTAAAACCAGACACAGCAAACTAGGAATTATTGGGCGGCTTTTGAGGGTTTTTTTTTTTAACCTTTTCAGAATTTATGTTCCCATGTTGGATGCAGCATGTCTGACCCAATGCATATAAATCCCAGCGCCTGTGCAGTTCTTGGCTGTGTTCACAAATATCTGATGCAGATCAGCCCCCTGCTGCAGCTTCTCACCTTGTGACTGGCTACAAAGTTGCAATGTTGCAGACTGATCACTGGGGGAGGGGAGACCGAGGAAATGCTTCCTCCATCTTGCAGCACATTGATCACTGGGGGAGACTGAGGAAATGCTTCCTCCATCTTGCAGCACATTGATTACTGGGGAAAGGGAGACTGGGGATATGCTTCCTCCTGCATGCAACAGACCAATCACTCGGGGGTGGGGGGGAGACTGGGGAAATTCTTCCTCCTGCCTGCAGCAGACTAATGACATCATCTCAGCCTGGGCAAAGTCACTGACTGGAGCTCAAGGACGATTTATAAGGATAGATGGAGCTTTCCACTAAGTCAGGAGTGTATTGCAGACTTGTAAACTGAAATGTGTAACTTCTACTAACCTCCAGTTATCGCTAAAACATAAAACTTCTGCTTTTATTCTTTTTTTTTTCTCACATAACAATTGTTGGCGGTCAGCTTGGCTCGCCCGCGCTTTACCTTCTGCCTACTAACCAGCGTGCTTTTCTCTCCTCTTGTCTCTCAGTTAGCTGCCACGCGGGCACGTTCTACGACGGACAGAAGGAGCAGTGCGTTCTATGCCCCAACGGGACCTATCAGACCGAAGGAGGGCAGATCGCGTGTGAGATCTGCCCGGCTCCCGAGAACAGAGACAGTCCGAAGCACGTGGGGGCCCGAGACCTCTCCGAGTGCGGAGGTAACTGAGAGTCACCGGGAGGGTTACATTCCCGCTATATGGCCACAATATGTAGACCTCCTCCAAGTGGATGGAGTTCCGGTGTCTCCATTGAAGGGTTCTGTTTCATTAACAGAACACTGTAGACAGTTGGACTCTTCCAGCCTTGTGGTCACAGTTTGGTGAAGACCCTTTTCCCCCATCACTGTCCCCTGTGTACAAAGCCAGCTCCATAAAGACATGGTGTGACCAGTTTGTGAAGGTCACTCAAGTTCCTCCACACCAGAGCCCCGACCTCAACCCTGTGGAACATAGGAACACCTTAGGAACACTTGGGTTTCATAGGCATTATTGAGTTCAGGTGCCCCAAGCCAGCTCCATAGAGACACGGTGTGACCAGTTTGGTGGAGGAACTCGAGTGTCCTGCACAAAGCTCTGACCTCAACCCTACTGAACACCAGGCTGGTCTTCTCTTCCAAGAGCTGTACCCAACCCCACACATACTCTTGGCTGAATGGGCACAAATACCAACAGATGCGCTTTGTGGAAGGTCCTTTTCGGAGTTCAAAGCCAGCTCCATGAAGACATGGTTTTGTTTAAGTATCCTGCACAGAGCCATGACCTCAACCCTACTGAACACCATATGTTAATGGCCATGGATGGGAGGGGGTGGCAACTCCCTATTAATGGCCATGGATAGGAAGTGGGTGGCAATGCCATGTTAATGGCCATGGATGGGAGGGGGGTGACAATGCCATGTTAATGGCCATGGATGTAAAGTGGGTGGCAATGCCATGTTAATGGCCATGGATGGGAGGGGGTGGCAATGCCATGTTAATGGACATGGATGGGAGGGGGGTGGCAATACCCTATTAATGGCCTTGGATGGGAAGTGGGTGGCAATGCCCAATAATGGCCATGGATGGGAAGTGGGGGGCAATGCCATGTTAATGGACATGGATGGGAGGGGGGTGGCAATACCCTATTAATGGCCTTGGATGGGAAGTGGGTGGCAATGCCCTATTAATAGCCATGAATGGGAAGTGGGTGGCAATGCCATGTTAATGGCCATGGATGGGAAGTGGGTGGCAATGCCCTATTAATGGCCATGGATGGGAAGTGGGTGGCAATGCCCAATAATGGCCATGGATGGGAAGTGGGTGGCAATGCCCTATTAATGGCCATGGATGGGAAGTGGGTGGCAATGCCCTATTAATGGCCATGGATGGGAAGTGGGTGGCAATGCCATGTTAATGGCCATGGATGGGAAGTGGGTGGCAATGCCCTATTAATGGCCATGGATGGGAAGTGGGTGGCAATGCCATGTTAATGGCCATAGATGGGAGGGGGGTGGCAACTCCATATGAATGGCCATGGTTCTGGAACGAGATGTCCAGCAAGCTCATCTAGGTGTGATGGTCAGGTGTCTACTGAAGTGTCACTATGAGTATGTTATGCAGCACTGCAGGTAGATCCGTTCATTCAGTTGCCATCTCCTGAAGGGGAATTGTAGTTGAGCTTTTAATCGAGTTACGTTTTTGGATCGTTGGTGGATATGGATAGAAGGGATTTTTAACCCAACACTCCAAGATGACCACATTTAACTATCTGTTCATTTCATCCTAAGCTTGGAATGATCTTTTCTGTGGTGTGCTGGGACAGATGGAACTTTCTCAGGGGTTTTATGATTTTTTTTTCTGTGTTTTGTCTCTTTTCACTCTTCCGCATTCACACTGCAGCTTTTCATGTTTAATTATTTCACTGCATTCGTGTTCAAACTGCAGCCATTTGGTGCTTATTATGAAGCCAGTCCCAGGATTGTAAGCCTTGGTTTGTATTGTCAGTGATTTCTAAAAGTCTCATGTAATAGTTCTCTAGCTGCGCCTTTAGCATGTTACAACTCTGACCGTCTCCTGTAGTAAGCCTGCAGTCTCTGGCAATCTCCTGTAGCACTATGCATTCTGAATGTTATTCGCCTGTGTGAAAGTCTTCCAGATGTTTGATGAATCTACATCGCCATCTTGTGGTCACTTTTAGGTAACGCAGGAGATACATTTCCATCATCTACAGAGGACACAGAGCTAGTAACATCAGTTCCTGCAGCAGAGGAGCTTACAATCTAATGTCTCCCCACAGTCACATCAGTCTCTGTACAGAGGAGCTTACACTCTAATGTCCCCTCCCCCACAGTCACATCAGTCTCTGTACAGAGGAGCTTACACTCTAATGTCCCCTCCCCCACAGTCACATCAGTCTCTGTACAGAGGAGCTTACACTCTAATGTCCCCTCCCCCACAGTCACATCAGTCTCTGTACAGAGGAGCTTACACTCTAATGTCCCCTCCCCCACAGTCACATCAGTCTCTGTACAGAGGAGCTTACACTCTAATGTCCCCTCCCCCACAGTCACATCAGTCTCTGTACAGAGGAGCTTACACTCTAATGTCCCCTCCCCCACAGTCACATCAGTCTCTGTACAGAGGAGCTTACACTCTAATGTCCCCTCCCCCACAGTCACATCAGTCTCTGTACAGAGGAGCTTACACTCTAATGTCCCCTCCCCCACAGTCACATCAGTCTCTGTACAGAGGAGCTTACACTCTAATGTCCCCTCCCCCACAGTCACATCAGTCTCTGTACAGAGGAGCTTACACTCTAATGTCCCCCCCACAGTCACACACTATTATTATACATTTATATAGCTCTGACATATACCGCAGTGCTGTACAGAGATCACTGAGCCAGTCACATCAGTCTCTGTACAGACACACTCCCCCTACAGTCACACACTATTATTATAAATATATTGCTCCAGGCAGACTCTGAACTCCAGGTGGACAGTGTCTTTGTTAAGAATTAAGCCCAGGACCCCAGTGCTGCTTGAGCACAGAATTATCATGCTGCCCCACCAGCCAGTATGAACAGTTGCATGAACTGACCTCCGGAAGAGTATAACATATGGCTTCTTATTACAGCTGGAGTAGGATTTATATTGCACTAGTTTCTGGTTATCAGGAGAAAGTTATCTCCTTATCGCTCATGCTGACCTGTGAGCGCATTGGCTGCTGTAAAGGCGACCACACCACAACAGGGAACCATGTCTGTATGACAATGGTGATCATTCTCTCCTTGTCTCCCTCAGGTCTGTGTCCTCCTGGTGAATTCTCCATGGATGGGTTTCGTCCGTGTGAACCGTGCCCCCTGGGGACCTTCCAGCCTGAAGCTGGGAGGACATCTTGCTTCTCCTGCGGTGGAGGCCTGACCACCCGGCACAGTGGAGCATCAACATTCCATGACTGCGAAACCAAAGGTGACTCTCCGTGCTAAAATACCATCTCCATTGGTCCTCTTTTCATCTCTATGGGACAAATGTGTGCAAGTGTCAGGGCACACGACCTGTGAGTGGGGGCCCCCTGTGACTTATAGGTCAGGAGACGTTGGCCCCATCACCACCGCAGTGATAGGAAAGAAGACATTTTAGAAATGTGGAGGTTGAATTTTGCACCCCTTTCACCTCAATGTCAGGGTGGGTGTGTTAAGGGAATCAGCAATCTCTGATCAAGGTGAAGGTTTCCGGATCAGGGGCGTAACTAGAAATCGCAGGGCCCCATAGCGACCGCCTGGGTCGCTATGGTGATTGTTACGCCACTGTTCCGGATGGGTATTTAGAAGAGAAGAGTTACAAAATAATAGAGAAAGATTAGAAAGTGCAGAAGAGATCCTCAGACATGGCGGGTGTACCGAGCATCTGACTCCCTTGCTCAAGCGGGAGGCTTCAAGCTCCAATCCCAGGCAGTTGTCATGTAGCACCGTCCCAAACCTTAACCTTTCACATAATACATCATTAGGTTAGGAATGTGCGCAGACCGCCCATAACAATTACATTGTAGAATGAGGGGACTGGCTGTCTCTATGTTCCCCAAGACACTCCAAGGACCCCGGAGAACATCAATTTGTCCCAATGGCATCACTGGGACTAAAGTAAAGTATTTAAAGTAGTATGAAGGTCCGGCCATTTTTTACCTTATTGGGCAAAAATGATTTGTATTTGCACATTTACTATATCTTTCTCCGCCTCCAACTGACATCCGTTTCTTGTGGGTTTGCGCAGTTCAGTGTTCGCCCGGACACTCCTACAACACCACGACGCACAGATGCATCAGGTGTCCGATGGGGATGTACCAGCCGGAATTTGGTCAGAATTTCTGCATCTCCTGCCCGGGGAACACCAGCACAGACTTCGACGGATCCACCAACATAACCCAGTGCAAAAGTAAGTGCCCCCCTCTTCGATTTTTTTTTTTTCCTGTCCGATAATATCATCCAATTGAGTTAAATCACAGCTAACCAATCAGATCTGTCCAATCGGTCAGGCGCCGTTTGTTGGACACGAGTTGCATTTTCGCAAATAAAAAGTTGTGTATGTGTTTGAAAGAGTGAACTCCGGCTCGACGGGGTTATCTGTATACACCCCCCCACCCCACCCCGGACTCCATGTTCTCCAAGATCTGTCCTTGTAGATGGAATTGATAAATAACACCCAAATATTGCAGAATTGCAACTTTCCTGAACATCTTTGTTGGGGGGGAATCGAGGTGGGAGCCGGAGGGACTGAAACAGCGCGGAAAGAAGGAACGTCATTCGGGGTTTATCGTTTTCCATCCCCGTGTATAACAAAACCCGTTACATGATAAAGAATATTTGTCTGAAAATGCAAAAATTCTCTCCAAAAACATATCTGTTACATGAAAAAGACAAAACGCCTAAAAACAATTACAAATCCTATAAAGCTCATCAAGGATCCCTCTGAGCTGTGAATGCCAGTTAGAGATGCTGTATAAACCAACAATTGCATGAGAATGAAGACTTCACAGCCATAGTAGCGATATAAAACAAATGGCTGTGGACTCTCCGGGGACTTAAAGGAGAACTATGAGGGGGGTGACGGGGGAGGGGGCGGGTACAGCTGGCTCTGCCTCTAGATAGGCAGAGCCAGCTGTCAGTCACGCAGATGGGCGGATCCAGACATAATTGTCGGGATCCGCTTCAGCTGCGGCGTCTCAGTATACCGCGAGCTGCAGCTCCCTATATACTGAGCCTAGGGTGACGGGAGGACGCTAGTTTGTGTCCTCCCGTTACCCTAAGGAGAACTATGGGGAAAAGCCCTGACCCCTTAGTTCTCCTTTAATTACCATGCAAATCCTCTTTCGCTTTTTTGTTGCAAAGCCGGGACTAATTGTCTCCGTTCCGTAGCTTACTTCCAGGTTTACAATCATTCGGATGTTCTCGGTCAGGTTGGATATATACTGTAGGTTCTCAGTGCACATTTTTATATGAAGATTTGTGTATATTTTTTTTTTCAGTGACAATTTACGCAGCACTTTACATACTGCACACTCACATCTGTCCCTGCCCTCAAGGAGCCTACAATCTAAGGTCGCTATCTCGCATGCATGCATACATACAGGCCCGGATTCCCCACAAGGCCACCGAGGCCCGGCCTCGGGGCGGCAGGGCGCAGAACGGCGACAGCGGTATCCTTGTGGGTAAGTTGGCCTCTCTACATTCAGTCCTGCTTTGCACAAGCAGGACTAAATGTAGAGTGAGGAAGCCGATTGTTCGTTTACATGTGATGTCAGGGATGTCGCCGAGATCACATGTAAACAGTCTGCAGCCTCCTGCACTTACCTCTCTGCTCTGGTTCCATCCACCGGGCTCCGCCGCCGAGTCTCTCCTCACTGCGGTTAAAAGTAACCCTGCTGCTCCGTGTAGACAGTGAGAGGGGAGAGCTGTGCCGTGCTGTGCCGTGCTCTTCCAATCTCAACAGTGCTGTGCTAGAACTCCTGTATTGGAGGTGACAGGGTCAATAAAGAGAACCTGTCACCTCCAATTGCTATCACACAGGGGATTGTTTTCTCCTGTGTGATAGCAATAAAGTTAGGTGGAAAAAAAAATTATATGAAAAAAATTAATTAAAAAAATACAAAGGTGATTAAAAAGTAAAAAATAATTGCGTATTGCGGAGCCTGGCCTTGGGGCGGCAGGGAGAGTAAATCCGGCCCTGCATACATACATACATACATACATTGTAATGTTGGGGAGCTCACAGAGCACTCGCACAGGCTTTTCCTTTAACCAAAAGTCTTTATTATTCTTCTGTAACATAAAAGAGCTTTAATTCAGCAACATACAGTCTGCTTGTGTCTCAGCAAGTACAGTCTTTAGCACACCTCTGTGGGATACTCACTCTGATCACCCCTGGTGAGCACTCACACTGCTCTCTCAGCAGTGTGTCCACCAGGTCTCTTGGGTCACCAACCTTCCCCAGACTCCCCTAGCTGTTCCACATGCGTCCAGCATGCACAGCGAGTCTGCTTGTGGTCGTGTGCCTCCTGCACACCCACACACCACTGGCTTGGCTCGACCCTCCTCTGCCTCCAGCACACACCACCAACTCCTCCTCTGAACTCTGGTCTGAGGTCTTAATGAGGCTGCACTCCTGATCACCAGCAACACCTGACCTCAGGATTGGAGATTTCATCCCACCCAGAACACTAAGAAATCTCCAGAGATCCAGATCCCGGCTACAATCCGGAAAAACTGAAAGGCCAGTTTCTTCCCTCCAGAACTATTTGCATTCTGGAACCTCTCAGCCCCTCTGGCTGAGAGTCCTGGGTGACCGTGTTGCCAGCATACTCTGTGGCATTGCCACGCACTGCCACAACATGCATGCATGCATGCATACATACATACATACATACATACATACAGGGCTGATTTAGACCAGAACCACTTAACCTTCCAGCATGTCTTTAGAGTGTGGGAGGAAACCGGAGTAGCGGGAAAAAACCCAGAGTACCCGGAGGAAACCCACTCAAGATAGTGTCCTGATCAGGATTTGAACCGGGACCCCCCAGTGCTGCAAGGCAGAAGTGCTAAGTCTATAGAACTCGGGTTGCCTCCAGATAGGGGGTCACACAGAACACCTTTTGGGGTTTATAAGTGCATTGATTTTATTTTGTTATTATAGCTGTGAAGTCTTTATTCATATGCGCGTGTTAGTTTGCACGCCATCTCTAATTGGTATTTTTAGTTCACGGGGTTTCCTTGATGAGCTTCAGGGATTTGTAATTGTTTTTAAGGTTTGCTGTGTTTTTGTTGTCTTTTTCCTATTGCTGTACTAAATAATTGATACATTTTAACACAAGTCGTGAGGCATTGTGGTGGTTTTGTATCTAGTTTGTCTCTGGCCGGCACGCAAGCAGGTACGGATCTCGTTTGGGTAAAATAAAGAATATTTACCTGGAATGTCCTAACTCCGTTTTATTTATAGTGGGGGGAAAAAAGGAAATAAATCTAAAAGAAATGAAAGAAGAAAAAAAACCTAAATAAACTGATCGCAAGAATACAATGTATCAAAAACACACAAGTCACAAACACATATACGCTATAAGAAAAACAAACAGTAAATTGTTTCTCTGAATCTTCGGTGACGAAAGAGGTTTTTACGGTCTTGGCGGTGAAAGTGTTTATGTTTTAGGCTCTTAACGGTCAGAGAAAATCCGCATTATTCAGTTTATTTACAGTACAGAGTGCCAGATTACTCCAAGTGGAGCCAGGTGGTTCTGAAGAAATCGCTGACACATTTCATGGAACAAATATAATGTTACAAAAAAAAAACCAAACCTACATTTTGCCCTTTTCAGACTTCAAGTAGCAGCTGGTTTATTTAAAAGGGTTTTTTTTAAAGAGCAACAACTCAGAAAGTTTGGAGTTTAAGTGATACCCTTTTATTGGATAACATGACTTATTAAAGATGTAAGCTTTCCCTCCGTTGTCAGGCGGTAGACAATTCTGAAAATGGTTCTGAGCACACAGACAGACGGATTACATAGAGTTACAAGGAGGAGCATTGGAATATAAATATAATAGTGTTTTTTCATGGCAGAGTTGGAGGATAAAGGGTTAGGCTGTAGAGAAAGGGATACGTTTAGAAGTGGCCCTACACTCTGTACAACAAACTTCCAACTTTTGCACTCTGTATGCTACACACTCCTAAACCCCTACACTCAATATGTTACATACGATTCCTGACCCATGTACTCAGTACGTTACACAATCCTAACCCTTACACTGTATACTATTCTGACCCTTGCACTATGTACATTATCCAATCCTGACCCATGTACTCAGTACGTTACACAATCCTGACCCCTGCACTATGTACATAATACAATCCTGACCCCTGCACTATGTACATTACACAATCCTGACCCCTGCACTATGTACATAATACAATCCTGACCCCTGCACTCAGTACGTTACATAATCCTGACCCCTGCACTCAGTACGTTACACAATCCTGACCCCTGCACTATGTACATAATACAATCCTGACCCCTGCACTATGTACATTATCCAATCCTGACCCATGTACTCAGTACGTTACACAATCCTGACCCTTGCACTATGTGCATTACACAATCCTGACCCCTGCACTATGTACATAATACAATCCTGACCCCTGCACTATGTACATTATCCAATCCTGACCCATGTACTCAGTACGTTACACAATCCTGACCCTTGTACTATGTACATTACACATTCCTGACCCTTGTACTATGTACATTACACATTCCTGACCCTTGTACTATGTACATTACACATTCCTGACCCTTGTACTATGTACATTACACATTCCTGACCCTTGTACTATGTACATTACACATTCCTGACCCTTGTACTATGTACATTACACATTCCTGACCCTTGTACTATGTACATTACACATTCCTGACCCTTGTACTATGTACATTACACATTCCTGACCCTTGTACTATGTACATTACACATTCCTGACCCTTGTACTATGTACATTACACATTCCTGACCCTTGTACTATGTACATTACACATTCCTGACCCTTGTACTATGTACATTACACATTCCTGACCCTTGTACTATGTACATTACACATTCCTGACCCTTGTACTATGTACATTACACATTCCTGACCCTTGTACTATGTACATTACACATTCCTGACCCTTGTACTATGTACATTACACATTCCTGACCCTTGTACTATGTACATTACACATTCCTGACCCTTGTACTATGTACATTACACATTCCTGACCCTTGTACTATGTACATTACACATTCCTGACCCTTGTACTATGTACATTACACATTCCTGACCCTTGTACTATGTACATTACACATTCCTGACCCTTGTACTATGTACATTACACATTCCTGACCCTTGTACTATGTACATTACACAATCCTGACCCTTGCACTATGTATGTTATTCAATCCTGGCATCCTGCACTCTGTACATTACACACTCCTAAACCCCGGTGTTCTATCGAAAGTTCCAACTTGTTGAGATCTCCAACGACCTGACTTCCGGTTTAGTTAGAAGTAAGAGGTGCGCTAACTAAACCGGAAGTCGGGTCGTTGGAGATCTCGAGGAGTTGGAGTTTAGAACACCGGCACTCAATGTTACATAGTACTGACCCCCTGCACTCTGCACGTTACACACATCTGACCCCTGCACCCTGGCGACGTTTGCTCCCTTCCATGTTGTTCAGGTAGGTCTCCACCTCTCCAGCATTTCCTACCCTGGCTTAACCTAATCCTGAGCACTAAATAGTCACCGAAGCGCGACGCACACCTTACCAGACACTTGAAGTATTTGTTGCTAAAACACACGGCTCCTTCACAGCACCAAAGACCAGAAAGGGACGTTCACTACACAGATTAAACAGGAAGTGTGACATCTGTGTCTGTGAATGTGTCTATTTTATATAAAACTAACATTGTTGCTTCCAGTTTACTTCTTCTCTCCTCTTTTCTAATACAGAATCTTCTGTCCCTTTTCTGATTCCAGACAGGCAGTGCGGGGGTGAGCTCGGGGAATATACAGGTTACATAGAATCGCCAAACTATCCTGGAAATTACCCCGCCAACACGGAATGTACGTGGAACATAACCCCGCCCCCAAAGAGACGGATTCTCATCGTGGTGCCAGAGATCTTCCTGCCGATAGAGGATGAATGCGGGGATTATCTGGTGATGAGGAAAAGCCGTGAGTTGGTTTCTCTCCAGATTTTATTGTACAAACAAAATGATTTCTGCGAGGAAACCCGGGAGCCGTCCTGTCAGTGCAAAACACAGCGCAGGCTCATCATTCCTCCTAAAGTGTATGGAAACCCCCTCAGCCTATTCCTCAGCATGTGTGGCATCGTGTCTCGCTGTATACAGTTTTCTTACACCAATAGTTCTATTGTAAATCTGTTGCAAAGTTTCTTCCCTGAAGATCCTGACAGTACCAGCACTTCCTGTATCAGACTGAGAACTCGAAGCCCCTGCCTTGCTATTTATCAGCCTCCTTTTATGTGGTCTTCACTTAATGAATAAGCCCGGTCAATTTGGTCACATGATCTCTGGTAAACAGGCCAATCAGAGTGTAGATTAATTTCCCCTTAAAGGAGAACTATGGGGTCAGGGCTTTTCCCCATAGTTCTCCTTCGGGTAACGGGATGACACAAACTAGCGTCCTCCCGTCACCCAAAGCTCAGTATATAGGGAGCTACAGCTCGCGGTATACTGAGACGCCGCAGCTGAAGCGGATCCCGACAATTATGTCTGGATCCGCCCAGCTGTGTGAGTGACAGCTGGCTCCGCCTGTCTAGTGGCAGAGCCAGCTGAACCCGCCCCTTCCCCGTCCGTTCCGCCAGTCAGCGCTGGAGGGTCGGCGCGGGGAGGGGGGAATCCAGCCGTGACAGGACCGAGAAGTGAGCGAACGCCGGTTGTGTTCGCTCACCTCCCGATCTACTGAGCCGACCTGTGACAGTCTCATT